TCCCACCCGCAAAGGGTTTGTTTCTCATTTACTCAAAGGAATGTGGCTGAGTGTGTCAACGCTGTTGGCATGTGTTAAGGGTACTCGGAGCACACTTATTACATGGGGCCTCTCAGGGAGGCCTAGTCTGTGAACCCAAGCAGCCTTAGACAGGCAATATGTGCCCGAAGGCTGAGGTCAGCCAAGATGGCAACAGCTCTGGATATGCACTGTAGTCAAACTTTAGAGGACTAAGTAGATTTCCTGACAGAAAAGGTAGGCACCTGGGGGGTCATGGGTAACCGAGTAGCTTAGAAGGAGTTTCTGTAAATCCCTTCTTGGATTTAGGCAAATAAAAGGGGAATTTTGGTACTTAAATTCTATGTGAATCTTGCTCTACATGTCAGACAGCTGCTTTTCTTTACCTGACTATGCTTCTTTATTTGGGGATTTGTATGCAACATATTTTAAGAGAACCAAAGTCTATTCTATTGCAGTTAACAAAAGGATCTTTTGGTTACAGAAAGGCATGAGACGCATTGGCAGGGCCATCTCAAAGGAGGTGGAAGAAGTGGATCTCACGGCCAACATGGGCATATCCCAGCTTCTAAGCCAATTCATTGCCCACACACATGTATATAAGATGATGAAGGAAAAGTATGACTGCAAGAGGACAAGGTGAACTAGTGAGTTGTACTACTCACTCAACACTTTGGGGGATAACAGGTCTACCAAACACCATCACTCTGTGCATTTCTACAGCGCCTCTTCCTTGTTCAATAGGTATCAAAAGAAACCAATTTAGTGTTCTCATCATAGCGTAGGCTTGATATTTCTCTTCATTGCAAACTCACATAATTTGGCACAAACGTCAGTCAAGAAGTCTACTTCTGTAATAGCAGGTTCAGCTTCTAGGTCGGTATTGAAAACCAGCTAATCAAAACATCATGAGAAAGTTTGCATTTTCCATATGCCTGGCAACCCCCAATCTTTCACTCACTCCATAATCACTGTATTTTCTCTGAACAGTTCTAGGATCAGAAGAGTTTTTGTCCCCCAGAAATTTCAATCACAGCTACTGGGAAAAAAAAAGTTTTGTAAAAATGCTTTTGGTTTGAAGTGACCCAACTTTCATTTTTCTCGAACATTTTTTTGTGATTGCTTTCTTGAAACAATATTAGGGTGATTAGAGAAATGTTTCCTTTTTGAAACATCCCGTTTTGCTAATAATAAATCATTTAAGAATTATGTTGATATTTTTATAAGCCTTTTCAAACTATGGAACAAGACACAAAGTTTGTGAAAAAATAATTGATGACTTTTTTTATTTATGAAAAATACATTTTTTTAAAAAAGGAATATTTTTCTACCATGGGAAAACAAAATATTAAAAACGGATGATTATTTCTAGCTTTGAGCCATGAAAGCAGGGAACTCACCTAATTTTGTGAACACCTAGAGGTTTAGAAGTCTCTCTCCCTCATATTTACACACATTGCTGTGGAACTATGTGGTATTCCCTTAATTGTCCTTGCCCTCTCCAGCAGCCCCAATGATGCAATATTAAATTCATATGGTTCACAAAACTGTGCCTTGCCTTTTACATTACAGAACATTTTTGCTCAGCTGTCTGCTTTATTTCAGTGAAAGTGGCTTGAGCCTTTTCTTTAATAGCATCCATATCCATGTTCTGGAGGTTCTGCAACTGGCCAAGAAAAGACTCCTTGTCTTCTTCTTCTTCTTGATCTTCTGCCACCATTTTCTGAAGGTCTTCTGGCAAGCCCACATCATCTCCAGCCATCTGTACTGC